AAGCATGGCAAGAAGTGACAGAAAGCTGTGATATGCGATATTGCTGTCCGGAGATAAAAAAAACACAGGTACAATATATATAAAAAGATGCTTACTGATCGACAAACAAAAAAATATCTATCTACCTAATTGGCTTACTAACGATCACAAACTAGTTCCCTAACTGAGTGAGGTCGTCAAACTGACCAAGTAACTAACTGACTGACAGACTGTCCCGAAGTTGTACGGTACACAAAAGACTCTCGATGTTGTGAACAATTCCCGGGTTTAATGACAAAACGAAACGAAAATAATACAAAATAGTTTCTCTCTCGATCCTCGTGTTGTTTGCGTTGTGTTCGTGTCTCTCCCCTTTCAACCCATTTCAAAATACTTGTCTCTTATTACAATTTCACTTGTCAGTCATCTTTAATTATCTAAGAACTAAATATGACATCCGGTTGTAACGCTACGCAATCACGACAGTTCCGGTCAAGACTGACTGACAGACTGACAGACTGACAGATTAACTGACTGACCGACTGACAGACTGACTGACAGACTGACAGATTAACAGACTGACCGACTGACAGACTGACTGACTGACTGACTGACAGACTGACTGACTGACAGACTGACAGACTGACTGACGGACTGATTGACTGACGGACGGACGGGTGGACTGACTGACTGGCTGTCGGACAAACGGAAAGATGGACTGACTGACGACTGGACGAACGGACAAATAGACAGACACACGAAATGACTGAATGACTGCCTGATGAACGGACGGACTGAAAACACACGGACGGGCGCAGACAGAGTGATTATACGTATGAAAATTTGATGAATGGGCGAAATACCCGAGACAGCCATAATGTCATGATACCGCAAAAAATAGCGATTTAATCTCTTCAATAGAAAAATAAATCAGTAAAACAAATCAGTAAAAAACAGAAGCTGACGTAGGCCCTAACATGTATACAAATTGCATAAATGCTAGGACTATAAAACACTAAAAGACACTAGTTTGAGCATAAATACTATAAATATACATCTTGCAGAGGTTGTAACAAAAGTTGTAGATAGATTATTTATGATAGACCATCAAACCAGTAATCATACACCATAATGAACTTAGATAAAGCATATTCAGTTGTAGAAGCTTCCGTTGAAGAGGATTTCCACAACCTATCAATGTAACTTCTGAGGAAGAAGGAAAAAGTGAAATTAAGCTATCAGGAGAGAGTTGGCGCCATATGTTGTGACAATCACTTAATATTTCTTAAACTATTCTTTATCATTATGAAGATAAAATGTAATCGCTATCTATTCTGGTAATTATTTGTTTGTTTTACTTTCTTGTGCTCTTACAGGCGGTTTTTGCTTGTAACAGCCTCTTAAAATTTCCTTTGGTGCAGTTCATTAAAAATACGATACCGTAAAATTAAGCTTCCCCCTCGTTCGCACTGGTCTCATCTTAAGTCTCATCTACACCTACACTTAGTTAAGTCTTGGATGTTGATTACTAATTGGTGTCACTGGTTTACAAACCCTTGATAGCATCTAACATTTACATTAAGGCATTTTTTGTCTTTGGTCGATTATTTTAGAATGTGCTTCAACTTTTCTGTTCAACAAAATCTCGCAGAAGCAGTTTAACTTTGACAAAGCCTTTGATTGAAATTCAAAAGCAAAGGTGGTTTTCGCGTCCTCCACCTTTTCAAGGATGATTGTTAAGTCAGCGCAACTTCTGAGCAGAAAAATGATTATTTAGCAATAAGTTAGACATTTTTCAAACTAACAAGTAATACGCCGCGCGCGACTGAGTTTTCGCTCTCGCGCGAGACACGTGCACCCATGCTAGTTAACATTTCATGCGTTTGTGCAAGATAGCTTATTAGCATTTAATAGGCTTCTCTCAAAGTCGCGAAAAGAATTCAGGGGCCCGTTTCTCGAAAGCCGCGGAAACTTTTTGGGCCCGGAAAGCCGGAGCAAAATCTCGAACCTTACGATTACAGAGCTGTTTTATCTACGTATTCTTAATATGAAAAGAGGTTCCCTTCATACAAGGAGTTTCAGGCGTATACACTTCTCCGTTTGTAGATACAAATGAACTAAAAATGGCTTTACGGGCCCGAAAAGTTTCCGGAGCTTTCGAGAAACAGGCCCCAGGTCCGTTGGGGTTAGTAATGGAGCCTTTACAGTGACTATGATTTGTGTTTACATAGCATTACACCTGCTTTAGAACATGTTTGTATGATCTTAGAATTTCGACAGATAAAATGTACACAGCGCAGCATAGCAATTCCTCTTTAGTAAACATATAATAATTATGTTGTTAGTTTCTAAAATAAAGCTGTCATACCTTGTCGTAGTACAAAATCCGGCCGATTTTGATACATTTACCAAACTAAGTATGTAACTTGTCAGACCTCGTCCAAGATGAAGGTTTTCAGCCTGGTACCCCACCCTAAGGGGTGATTGTGCTAAGATTGGGCTACGTTTGATTTTTCGTTCTTAGTTTTAAATCAGTTTCTTGAAAAAGTTCTCAGATCCTTTTCTACAAAGACAGAAACTTCCTATTTTTGCTGACCCTGGCTTTGTCACCACGCAAGAAACTGATAATGACATAGTAGTACATCATACTAGGACAACAACTTTTTGTAAATTTAGAAAGACAGGACATTCACTTCAGCATTTGAATCAGACTTTAATACTGCATGTAATAAGTAAAGATTTGCTCCTCCTCCTCAGAATCATTTTTTGACACCGCCCTAAGTAAGCAGAGACCGTAACAACGTAGCACGATTTTATTGTACTACATTTCGGCTGGCCAAACCAACCTTCTTCGGGTACAATGAGAATTTCACATTGGAGGGGGTGTTTACTGTAGTCAAAGACTTCTCTCCAGCTCAGGGAAAGCTAAAAAGCCGTTTCCACTCTCCCCCGAGTGCCGTCATTTCCATGACGAGGTCACCAACTACTGTATCTTGTTCATCTTGATTGTGACAAAAATCGCAAACATAACGCGCACTAGCGCCTGTAACAGGTATTTTTTCATTCATTTTCTGAGAAAGGAGGACTGCAATTATTTTGTCAGATCAATTTTATTCATAAAGCAACACTATATTAATCACTATACAAGGGAAGCTGATCGCTTCAATTCAACTGGACAACACGTGTATTTTAGAACTATTTGCTACCTTTGAAAGTGAGATGTTCTGGCGTTGACATAGAAACTCCCGAGAAACTGTCGCTAACTTAACACGACAATACTCCAAATGAAAAAGGAAACTTTTTACATGGAAAATTTGTAGCCACTTTATGGCAGATCTTGAACTGCCACGTGGAATTGTTGGTCACCTTTTAAGAGAATCCTGGCTGAAAGCAAACTTTGAATTTTGTCTGGTCTGTTAGTAGTTTATAATCTTTCTCGTAATCGTGCTGTTTCTAATGAAATAATAAACACCAACATGGCGTCATTCTAGAAGAACAAGTTAGCTTATTAACACAAGGTGCAGTACACTGCGAGTTCACCAGGAAAAAAGAAAATGCTTTCAACAAAGTTTGCTTCTCAGCCGGGGTTTCCCCATCGCTCAAACTGGAACCAATCTGAAATGGAATTTCGTTTCTTGGACATTATTTTAAGAACTGAACTCTTCAAAACATCAACTTTCTTTTACAGCTAACCTCTAAGTAACAGCTTAAGTTGTACACCTGTATAAATATATGCAAATAATAATTATATTTAACCTATACTGATGTATTTATTTATATATTTACACATTTTATTATTGTGTTATGGCCAACAAATTGTCTTGCAACATATAACTATTTTCTTAGTTGGCAAAACAAATATTCTTCCTTAGCATCCGTCAAGTAGGTCGTCACGCAGTTCTTCTCAAGAGAAAATGTTGTGTGACGAGTCAATGCGTGACGATCTACAAAAAGGCTGCAAACCAAAGATTACACAAAAAATCAAATGGAAGCACGTATAAATGAAATATCTGAAAATTATGTGAGATAAATTTTTTTTACGCGTTATTACTCTTATGATACTACTCGATGATTCAAAATTCAAAATTCAAGCCACAAGCAAAATAGCTTTTCTCTCAGAGAAAATGAAAAGCTCGTTATCGGGTCTTTTCCCTTGAATTTGGAAGGGAAAAGCACTGGAAACAAAGTTACTGAGAAAGACTATTTACAGGAATGTATGGTAAGGCAGTTCTTTCACGCGACAAGTAAATTTCCCAATGCCTATTCTAGTTTTAGATTTGGGATTGAACACTTAAGCAGAGTGCCACTTAACTTCCTATCAAACTACTAAGCATTATATAAAAGCGTCATAACAAAAATCAGAACGAAAAATTAACAACTACCTGTAACCCGGGCCAAACATAGAAAGATGAATCAACCATGAACGTTTAAAGGGGCTCAGTCACGGTATTTTGAGTTATTTTGGCCACATACAAAATTACATTTCAATGGCAGGAAACCTGAAAATAACAGTTTAATAAGATAGAAAAACACCAAAGACATAATGATAAACCATAACGGAACGAGGATGGCTAAGGATGGAGAAGATTGACACGGAATACGAACGACGAATTGGAAAAATTGAGGCTAAACTTTTCAATATGCGCAAACCGTGACTGAGCTCCTTCAAGCTACGACAATGCCGCCCTTTCTAGCCAACGTCTATTTGAATTGCTACAAGACTTAACTAATTTAAATATAAAACGGCAGACTAATTTCCAACACTACGGGAAAATTGAGTAGCACAAATTGAAAAGGTTACCCTAACCATGTTAATATGCCCGATGAAAATGCACGCACGCGATGATACAAGAATGTGGTGTGCAAGTCCTAAAGAGTAAACTGTCTTAATTAATAATCCACGATCGACCAAATGGACATGAAATGAAAACTGACAGAAACTTCTAATAAGGTTGTATTAGGTCATAATCCTCAAACGTTTTTTATTTCTCCTCTGGTATAATCAGTTTCGAACGAAAATGTTTTTTTTTTTTTTCAAATTTAAAGTAAAAAAGAAACCACTAAAAGGGGTTAACACTAACAACACATAAAGCAACAAAACCAAGTTAAATATCTGATACATAATAATTAACTTGCAGTGCAATCTAAATAAATAATAATATTATACTCTTAGCCATAACAAGCTTAATTACTTTACATCGCAACCAAAAATATCCTCATGTACGTATCTGTTGCTATACACTCAAATTTTGTTTACAAAATTAAACCATTATCCTCTATACAAATTAAGGCCATTAGTGATGTTATAAACTGCGGGAGAATTAATCTGTTTTCGAACATACAGCCAGCTGATGCCCAAATCAGTTTGACAGGCTATCTACAGTTCTTGTCCAAACCGGTCTATCAGGATGTTTGAACGAGCAAATACTTGAAATAGTGTTACGTTAACCTATAACATCTGTCCCGATATATATTTTCAAATTATCGCCAAAGGCGGGAAAGAAATAACATTCTCAATTTAGGTGACAGCAGGTACACACCTCTAAAAAGATGCGAATAATTTAGGTACTATAATAAATTAGATCTTGTACTTTTTCACACTCACTGCAAACACAGATATTACATCTGTCCAACTAAATGGAATTAGCAAAATAAACTCTTTTTCACAAGAATATTCCACTCCAATACTATTACTTTAGCCTCGCTCGACATTGATATCTATGAATTAATTTAAACATTGTTTCTAACACACGCGATCAAGCAATCTTCTTTCAATCGCGGAGTAAAACGTTCACGAATGAAAGCGAAGACTTAATCAGCCCTTACCAAGCTACCTAACTCCTCCTTTACCAAGTAACCCTCTCTTGTCCTACGTCCCCCCTAAAATCTAAGGGAATACAGGGCAGAGACGGGGGGAGAGGAAAGTTGTTCTCCATTGCGCGTCATCCGATAGGCCTGACCTGTAGTGGAATATGGTATTTATACACGCCACACTGTCGGGCAACATCATACTATATCTCCATCTACAACGGCAATAACTGGACTTCTCTCGTCATGATCGTCATCATCGTATTCCACGTGCTTGTGCCCTTCATAGTTGATATTGTCAAAGTGCCTATTGACATTGCCTTTGCTTGCTGCTGGCCTACTATAAACACTCTTTAAAATGGTAGCTTTGTCATCTGTTGTTTCACTGTCAGCAGTATAGACAATTCTGCAAGCAAAGAGGACGAGGTCTTGGATTAAAGATTGTACGATTAACTGCAAGGCATTGATACCCCTGGGCATTGTTTTACTAGGACATTGTAACCCCTGGGAATGTTATCTCAGGGCAATGTCCCCCATGGAAACTGTGGGACTATAACCCAGACTACAGGAACCCCAACCATAATGTTTGAACACACATTTTCGGCTTGAAAACCGTGACCAAACCCTTGGTACAATTTTTAGCTCACTGTCGATTGCTCATAGTACTTTACAGTTTTCAGTTACTTAGGTAAGAATGTGTAATATGCTCTTTTTCTCGACTTATCACAAGTAAAACAAAAACCAGTGGTGAGGGACGCGCGGTTTCTTGCATGTTTAAGCTTTGAGGTCGATTGTGATTATAATTCTTCTGCTACAATTTCTCTCTTGTGATTACTAAACAACCAGAGTCAACTTACTGAAGTTTTGGCGACCGTTTCTTCCGCGCAACGATAAACACAACAATACCCGAGACCACACAAACAAACACCAGAACACCGAACGCAATTCCAAAGACAAGGCCAGTGTTCGATTTGCTGCCATCTTGGTGAGCTTGTTGGTTAATAACAGCCGTAGGTTGAGAGCTGTAGTTTACACTAACAGGGGAAACGTTTGATGATGAACTTGCTGTGGGCTTGCGAGTTGGCGGAACGGCTACAGAGAGGAAAAAATAACTGTTAGGACAAATTTGCTGCAGTCTATTGCAAATCCGAAGCGAATTGGATTACTTCTCCTAGCGTTAGCTTTTCACTGAGATCATTGCATGTGTGCAAGTCATCGTCTTAAAATCCGCAGAAGTAAAACCTATTTTCAGTCTGTCGTGAGAGTCAGTAGAACCCACAAACATCGAGTGTCAGTTTTCAACTTACTTGCATTACACGTTTTGCCATCAAGTTGAAGATAAAGCCCATTTGGACAGCTACAGCTAAATTTCTTTTCCGATGAAATAAGGCAAAGATGAGAACAATTTCCGTTGTCCTTTGAACAAGGCGTAACAGCTGCAAAAGAAAACAAAAAAATCAGTAAGACGTTTTATTCCCCTCATTTCAGTACAACAGCGTAACAAGGCAAATACGAACACGTACTAGTGGAAAAAAAAATCATTACTGGATGTTGTCTGATACTTCAAGTTTACAACATGTTTCAGATGCAATAATCTTGAACGCGTTTTTAACGCGGCTGAGCTTAAAGAAAGTGCGTCTTTTTTGCGTACCTGTAGGTTGTCTTTGTGGGTGGTATATATGCAAATCGAGCGGCGAGAAAGCCTCATTTACAAGAACCGTGACATTCTTTCCCGTAAACTTGTTGGCTTTTTTGATTGCCTTCTGATCGATCCAGTACATGTGGTCTTCAAACACAGTGATGCCTGTGGGTTCAATGATTCCCTGGTTCACTATTTCTCGCACGTTTGACCCGTCCATGTCACAATGCTTGATGACTTTGAGCTTAGCGTCAATCCAGTAGAGCTTCCTTGTGGTGTAATCAATTGCCAAATCAACCGGCCACTCTATATGGCTTCCACTTATCAAGACTCGGCGCTCACTGCCGTCCATGCTCGCTCGTTCAATTTTGGCCGGGTCGCCCCAGTCTGTCCAGTATAAAAGCCTTAGGAAACATAGAAAAGAAAACAATAAGCATTTAAGACAAGAATAAGAGGGCACGGGATAATACAGAGAATATAAAAGTCCTTCAATATTTCAGTTCCAGACCATAGTCAGCAGATATTTGTGTTGTAATTAATGTTTCTCTCTACTGATAGAGTTACGTGTTGTATTCAAATTTAGTGCGCAGGAGGTTTAGGTTTACAAGTCCTAGGATTTACATGATTCAATCAGAAAGTAAGTGAGTGATGTAGAATTGGTCAAGTGATATTGTTCTTACCCCTCAGCCGGGTCCACTGCTATAGCACTGGGCTTCTCAATACCCTCCGTTATTAACGTGCGACGGAAAGAGCCGTCCAGCTCTGACACTTCGATAGAACCTGCGAGGAAATTGAAACGCGAGAGTTACTTTGAACGCATCTAATCACACTCATCAGACATGGTGTTGAAAGTGGAAATCCAAGGCCTAGATTTTGAAGACAAATATTACATGCCCATTGATTCTTTCACCACAAAAATATTTTAAGCAAAACATTTTCCAACGCCATTACACTCCTCCAGCCAAGAAATCTACCAATCAAGGTTTGACTTCATGTTTGCTTAATGAAATGTCGCGTTTACCTTGTTTGGCCCAGTAAATTTTCCTCCCGACCCAGTCCACCGCAATGTACGAGTGGTCCTCCAGTCCTTTGTCCATGACGTCGAAGATTTGTGGCGCGGCATTAGCCTGGATACGAGCCCGCTGTATTTTCCTCAAGGCCTGTTCCGTCCAATAGATCATGCTTGTTTTAATGTCGAAGTCTAAGGACACGGCGTTTGTGAGTTTAGCGACCGCTTCCTTATATTCAGAGCCATCTGTTCTAATTTGTCGAATATTTCTGCGGTTGCTGAAAATCAATGAAGGACGAGGGCCTGGAAGAGATAGAAAGCTATTGTTAAAAGAACGCTTTGCAATGTGAAAAAAACAAACCAACAAAAAAACAAATAAAAGTTTACTAAGGTAGAAAAACATCAAAGAGATAATAGCAAACCAAACACCAACAAGGATGACAAAGATTGCGGAAGATTAAAACGGATTACGAAAATTAAAAACGTTTGGTACCCAAGCTACAAAATTATGTTTATTTGAAATATTTCTTTTTCTTTCTTTCAGTTTAAGTTTCATGCCTGAGAACTAGCTGGTTGTAGGTAAGAGCAGCGACTATTATAAACATTCACGATTTAACATTTAACAAGCTGTTTCCTGTACATACCAGTGGCCCGACATTTCCTCCCATCGGGATCCAGCACATAATTGTCAAGGCAGGAACATTTGAAGCTTCCTTTCGTGTTATGACAAATTTGACTGCACATTCCTGGTATCTCACACTCATTTATATCTGAAAGAAATAAAACGTCATGTCATACTTGTAAAAATAACAAGATAAGGAGACCAATCCATTCTTTGTTTACTACAACTACAACACGAACTCTAGCTAGTTCCCAGGCTCTTACCTTGGCAGCTCTTTTTATCGTCCGTCAGCTCATACCCAGTTTTACACGAGCAGTAGAATCCAGTCTTCGTGTCGTGGCAATAGTGCAGACAATGGCCATTGTGATCCTTGCATTCATCGATGTCTAGATACAAACGAACAAAATAACCTGTTTAGTATCGGCGTTCAACTTTTCAAGTTCAAAGTAACAACCTCTGTCGAGGTTATTGTAAGTGTAGCGTAGGCGTAGGATAGAGTAGTGTGATGTGATCTGGTGTGGTGTGGTGTAGGGTAGGGTAGGGCAGTGTAGTGCAGTGTAGTGTAGTGCAGTGCAGTGCAGTGCGGTGCGGTGCGGTGCGGTGCGGTGCGGTGCAGTGAAGTACAGTGTACATGCAGTGTGGTGTAATGTAGTGTACCGAGTGTAGTGTAAAGCAGTGCAGCGTACTGTAGTATAGTGCAGTGCAGTGCAGTGCAGTGTAGTGCGGTGCAGTTCAAACAGTTGGTTTGAAGATTCTATCCAGACTATCGTAAAAGTGTTATCAAACATGTTTCCACTCACCGCAGTTATTTTCATCCTCTCCATGAGGGCAGTCTGGGTGTCTGTCGCAGACTTTATTGTCTGCAATACAGATTAGGCTGCTGCCACATCTGAACTGATTTGCTTTACACACAGAAGATGGACTAGTCGCTGCATAATAATCAAAATAAACGGTTAAGCTTTGTGTTGCACTTCCTAAAATATGAACAGTTTTGTTCTGGGACAGTATGATTTAAATTAACGAAAATCTCAAAAATAAGCACCTGCAGGTATTGATACTATCGAGCCAGTCTTAACGATCGGGAGAGAGAACGCAAAATATTCACGTTTTGTGACAAAAAGATTTAACAACAGTTTCCTCCTTTGCGGGGGGTGGGGGTGTCGGTTTAAATCTTTATTTTCCCTTTCAATGGATAACTTAAATTAGACTTTAACTCCTTTTAATCTACAGCGCTGTTTTGGTGTTGGCGACCAGTAGTTTGCATATGACGGCGGGGCTAGTGATTTGACTTACTGGGCAGTAAACTGTCAGTATTTTTAAGTTTTATCGTTTATTGTTCGATTAATTTACAAGTAATTAATTGAATGATTGTCCCGCATGCAGACCTTTACTTAGGGCAGTACTTACAATTAACATCGACTGGTACTGTGGGATCCGGCCGCGACGTTCTAAGTGTTGTTGGAATTGTAGTAGTAACACGCGGGGTGGGAGAAGCTGGCGTATCAAGACAGTAGCCCAGAATAAATTAGTATATTAAAGAACCTTATGAAAACGAATCTTTACAGACGAGCCTATGACAAATAGTTTAACATAAAACCCAGCCCTTTCTAGCTTGGTCTCCAACACATTTTTGGAAAGGAGACTTGCTTGAAACTTTCTTTGTCTAGTAAAGCACGCCCTCAAAAAGTTTTAGTTAGAAAACTTAAGAATAAAAAACGAAAAAAAGTCATTTTCGGTGTAGAGTTGACTAATTCCATTTTTTTCTAACCTTAGTTACCATTCAATTGATGTCCTTGCACGTAACTTAACATCTCAACGTAGCTGTAAAAGTGGGAGTCTCGAAATTCAAATTTTCAGTCAATCGCAATTTCGACAGTCCGTAATTCCACACAATTTTTTTTCCTTGCCCTGTTATTAAAATATTTTAACTTCTTTTTTTCAAGTTTTGTATTCTAAACAGTGTCACAGACCCAGTACTAAGTGCATGCTCATTGTTAGCAAATCACCAGAACACCAAATAAACAGTAACTAGTTAGGGAAGGATAGAACAAGAAGATAACATAGAACACAAACATGCACATCACAAACTGAATCAAGCAGATTTAACTGTGATAAGCTTACCATACAAAAACTAAAACTGTGCTGGGGTTAGCAGGTGGCAAGGATAAAGCATTTGCATGTACACCAAAACAAAATACAATGAAACAAAAACACTATTTACCAGTGCATGGATGAGTTAAGAATAAGGAGCCCTGGTTAAAAGTGTTTACTTAGTATCAATTAGAATAATGGGCTACTGTCTCGTTTTACTTTACGTTACCGTTTATTTTTAATGCGGCACGGTTATCAAAAAGTTAATTTTATACGCCGCGGCACGGAGAGAAACTATTAAGAAATTTACTGTGTTTAAATGTTTTAAATGGGTGACTTTAAACTTTACTTGATTTACATTTATTACTCGGCTTCAGATCTCTAAATAGATATACTGGAGGAAAGGATGATTTGAACAGATCTTGCACTAGCTTCGTAGCGGAGAAATTACTGAATTTAAGCATTGCTTTTTACAAATAAAGGCAGCTTAATCTTGCTCTGAGCCTTAATTTATCGAGGCGATGAGAGCGAAGCCTATGAAGCAGGATTGCATGGCAAGTCTGTGGGGATTATAACAAGCGAGTGGGTCTTCTGTGCACTACGAGTGACACGCGCGATTCACAAAACACTTCACTTACGACAATTCCTTTCGTCGCTGTCATCACCGCAGTCGTCGTTGCCATCGCAACGTTGTATGGCCGGAATACACTGAAGATTTCCGCAAGTAAATTCTTGAGACGGGGAACACCCGATATTGCCTGGAATTTGACAACAATAATGTTAGAACCTTAAAGGAGCTCAGTTACAGTATTTTGAGTTATTTTGCCCGTGCACAAAATTACTCTTTAATTAAAAGGAAACCTGAAAATAGTAGTTTAGCAAGATATAAAAACATCAAAAAGATAACAAGGATGGTTAAGGATAGATATGATTAACACGGATTACAAACGACGAACTTGAAAAATTAAGGTTCATCATTTTGCTTACCGCAGCTGTTTTCGTCACTTCCGTCACTGCACTCTTCAGCTCCATCGCAAATCCACTTCCGGTGAATACACCTGCTTCTATCGTTACAAAGCCATTCATTCCTCCGGCATTTTGGCGGGGGTGGGGTGGGTCTGACTATCACTGATGATAGAAGACGTAGAGAAACTACTTTAGACAACGAGGTCACGGCTTATCGTTGAGCTAGAACACAGGAGCTTATGCAACTTACCTGAAGTATTGCAGGCTAATTCGTCCGAGCCATCCAAACAATCTCGTCTTCCGTCACATCTGTACAGGCCGCGAACACACCTTCCGCTTCCAACACAACGGAACTGCGAGGGATCACACGTAGCATCGTCTGTTGTTTCAAGACGAAGATAAACGTTACGATCAAAATAATAAATAATACAATTTTACAAAATGTTCACGAAAATAACGCGCGTAAACTGTAAGAACTTACGACAGCCTTGTTCATCGCTTAGATCTCCGCAATCGTCCTCCAGATCGCAGACAAACTCTGTAGAAACACATCGGTCGTTTTTGCAGCGAAACTCCGTGGGTGAACACGTTGCTACAAAACAAGCAATTCAACAGCTATTACAAAGGAACCTTTACCTTTTCGGGTCTGTTGTTGAGCAAAAGCTATAGATCTCACGGTTACCTAATACAGTCGTGCCGTTCTTAAAATCAATTCAGCATGGTACTTTTTCTGTTTTCAGCGCATTTGGAGCGAATTCTGACAACTCGCATTTATGGGCCAAAACAGCACACATGTAATTAATGCTTGCATTAGCGAAAGGAAACTAAAAACGGCAATGGAAATTTAAAAAAAAAAAAAAAAGACATGTTCGTTCCTTGGACGGTGTTAAAAAATTGAAACTGATCGCACTTTTGCCTAAAATATTACGCTACTAAATGTAAAACCGGCGTTTAAATGCCAGAAACAGTTTAGCCTCTTTCAGGCATTCAGTTAGTTGGGGCGCAGCACGAAAAACGGCGAACGAAAAAATAGGGAGAAGAAAAAATTAGAGAGAAGCGCAGCGGCGTGCTGGGAAGGCGAGGGAACGACCTTTTGTTAAATTCGTTCGCTCCTCGCACCAAGCCTCTCTCGCTCGCCGTTTTTCGCGCCGCATCCCAGCTAACTGACCGCCTGGAAGAAGTCAGACACACTTACGCTTGGGGCAGTCTTTCTCATCGCTGTTATCACCACAGTCATTTTCCTGGTCGCATTTAAGAACTGCATCAATACAATTCCCATTATCACATGTGAAATCAGACGATCCACAAGTCGTCGAGACAGTGGCTAAAAAGGAAAACATAATAAATACATTCTTTTTTCATAAAACAGCAAACTGTTGGGCGCGGTCCCAACCATACAACAGGAGCTTACATGTATCGCTATTCGGTGGACGCGAGTTTTGTGTCAAGAACGTCTAGTTAAAAAACACATTTGAACTGTTTCTCGCTTGGGACGACAAAGGACGAGAAGTCCATCAAAATTCAAAAGTACAGCACAAACGCGTTTCGCTTGATGGTGATTGTAACAATCGTTTGCAAGGCTAGAGTACGCAATTGTGTAAACTTCTTAATTGACCGCGCAAGGTCGGTTTTTATGAATCACTTCATTCACGTGCTTAATTCTTTGTCTTATTTAAAAAAAACTGCAGCAAATATCGTCCAAATAATGCGTGAAACTAGACCAAATATACAGCAATATTGTACGTCACAGTTAGTCAGCACGATTTCTCCAATTCGCACGCCAGACTTAAACTGATAAGGGTCACGAGAATTAAGGAATAGCTCAGAAAGAGAAATTTTATTGATTCATAAAAAGATTCTCAACACCGAGTACCTAAAGAAATTTAGAGAGCCGTAAGGAGAATATCATATCAAAATACTTACGACATTGAGGTCCACTATCAGTGGCTTCATCACTTCCATCTCGACAATCATTAGCTCCGTCACACACCCAGTTCCTGGGGATACACGAGCCGTTAGCACAAGTAAACTCATTAGTTGGGTGGCACAAGCGAAAACCTGAAAAAAAAGATAAATCGTGCATATGTATCAGTGCAGAACAACTTTCAAGCAATTAAGTTAGTGAAGTCAGTGTGTTACGTAATTTGGATTCCGGTCGAAATTTGCATTACAATCCATCCTTGAGATAACTTCTCGCTCTAATAAATTCGATACATAGAAAGCACGTAAAGATCTGAAGGCTCCTGGAGCCAGGAAGTTTGGTGAATGATCGTGCACTTACGCACAGCAGCCATCTCGCATCACCCACGTCACGTCACGCGCGACGTGAATGCCCGGGGGATAGAAGACAACAAAGAGTGATTGATTGCATTTAATTTATTTCGGAATTCAACTCTTTGAAAACTTTCTTAAATTAAAGACGCTACCAAAACTTGGCCAACGAACAGTGAGAAAAATACTTAAGGTTATTTAACCTGTTGCAATGAGATTAATGTAATAAGTTCAAGAAAATCAACTTTGCATTTTACTCAAGATTCAGTAAACAAGCGTCCACTTAAAAATAGCGTCACAAGAACGCATTATGCACATTCCATACATAATGCGTTTGGTTTAGTAGTCGACTTGTCACCGGGGTGTAAGGCTTAAGCTGCGGGGAAATTACAAGCCAATTCATTTCTTACAAAAGAAAAACGAATTCTGCGCCTGTTTTTTAATCGACGGCAATATAGTTGACAAGAATTTACTTTCAAGTTGATGTCATTGCATTGTCTTGGTAAGATGTTCAACGGGTCGTAATAATTAATACACTTGACCAAATAAATGCGACGGTTAGGAATAGTTATCATAAAGAGATCAAAAAAGGTCAACTTTTGCTGGCAAAATGTCAACGTTGTGGTCAAACCAGCAGCCAGCGAGACTATAACGAACTCTTTCCAGGAGGCATGGGCAAAAATACTTCTTCCTCGTAAATTGTAGTCAAATGAAAAGGATTTCGTGACCATTTGGTCAACAATGCGCTATAGTAGAGTGGGGGCGGTATAAAGAAACAAAAACACCTGAAAAATATTGGAGGCCGATGGCAGCTAAAAGCTCAGTTGAAAAGCTGCAAATTGGATCACTTGAAATATACGGTTTTGGTTCTAAGGCCGTCCTAAAAAAGCCCTGACAAACAACTCTTAAGTCCAGCCTTCGGAATGCAGATTTAAGTGGACAAAATTCATTAATATTACAACATGCTGGAGGCCCCTTCCATACTACGCCGCAGAAATTTAAAAACGTCTTTTTCACTCTGAAAACGCACGAAATTTGAAAACGCAACAATCACCGGTCATTTTGGATTTGTGTTTGAAGAAAACTCGGGCAGGGAAATCACGTGATTATCGTGACGTCATCGTTTACGAAAAGTCCGTCCACTCTAACACAGAAAGCCGACGTTTTCAAATTCCTCCCGGATTGAAGAGTCTTTTCGAAAAGCTACGTTTTCGTGACGGATTAGTGTCGACGGTAGGCCTAGAAGTGGAAAGAAACGGACGGGGCCTGAGAACCCTCTGTAGAGGCTTTCTTAATGTTAACTGGTGCTTATCCAAAAGAACTGCTTTAAAATTTGAGCAATGCACAACTGTGCCTTCCAAAAAACTGAATTGAACTAATAAGCTTATTTAAGCTCATACCTGCATACAATATTTGTGACCTCAAATAGTATATTGATTTTGGCCTTCAATTCCCCTTTAAGTCCTTTAATGTTGACCAATGCTATATATAATATTTGCAAGTGTTATTCCTGCTAAGAATAAACAGGATAAAAGGGTCAAGTATGTACCCATAACCAATGCGTTCCTTGAAAACTTTTCAAACCTTCCTTTTCAGGACAAACCTAATTTAGTTTTCACCAAGAACCATGGAGACAACGAAATTAATGAGAGCTAATTACTGCTACTGCTATCACAATAAAGCAACATAGCAATCAATTTTGAAATATTTAGTAGCTGACAAGGGTACATGTTCTACCGTAAGTTTTCGTTAATATCTAACACCAAAATGCAACATAGCACACATTATAAACTAGAAGGTTCAAATTGTTGAAAAGAGTGTTCTAGGATTCTTTAGAAACAATAACAGACAATATTTTCTTATCAATGATTACTTCTGCTAGTTCAAAATATTTGTTTTTAGCTGTGCTAATCGTTATCTTTTCAATAGATTGTAACTGTAAATCCCTGCAGAACAAACCTACAAATTAACCACTGAGTAAATGGTTAGTGTGAACAAGCTAACAAAAAAACAGCACAGTGTGAACAAACTAGACATCAAAATAACACCAGCCATTTTTAAAACTATAGTACTTTTAGCAATTAGTGTTTTTAAAATGTTTCTAAAATATCTCTCGACTACAAAGGATAAAATACAGCAGCTAAGTTTCAGAGTCTATACAAATTAATAACCTTCAGTTATTTGTTTCTCATACAGTATCCTCCCCCTTTGTGCGTACTTTAGGCACCGTTTATGAAGGTGCCACAGTTATACTTGGCAAATTCCTCACAACTTGTTGTGTAATTTTATCACATACACCTGACTTCAGTTGCATGAAAAAGTGCTATAAATTAACATTTCTACTAACACTGGGTTGTTCTTTTTTGCACAAGCAGACTGCATATTTCTGAAATTTGTATGGTATATACAAGGGATAGAAGACTTCAATTATGTGTTACATTCGCAAACCTCTTCTGCACCATTTTTTAGGCCCAGTAATTTAGCTTCAAGCTAGCTATCACAAGAGGAAAAGATATTACACCCATTTTTTTCAACCAGCTGAATGCATGAGCCATAAGTGACCAAAAACAATGTTGATCATTCATATGTGAAAGAGATATAGGATTACTGCTTGAGGTCCTAGGCACAAGTGTTTGCTAGAATTCTTATAAATGGTTCATGTTTTCTTTAATTTATCCACAATACACCTAAAAAATAGACCTTAAGCTGTAGTAGTTGAGCAGTCTGAACTTAATACCCTGTCAACTTCACTTAAATTTCTTAATTTAACATCAAAGACACATGCAAGTCTCGAACAATTATGCATGATTTGTATACCAAATGGAGAAATATACTTAAATATTTACAGTAAAAATGGCTTGCCTTAATTTAGCATTCTTCAAGAATCTGATGGTAATATTCAAAGGCTTCTTCCTGATTTACGAGTCGATATAATAAATAAGAAGGCATAACTGTTATACAGGATATTACACAGTGGCACAAAGATATGAATTTTATTTTTGAGTGGCAAAATCTTGTTTTTAACATGATCACTCAGAGAAATAAAATTCGCATCTTTAAGCCACTGTGTGAAAAATTTTCTTTTTATTTGTAATTTCATATAGACAAACTGACTGTTTGTACAAACATTTACTGTGAAGAAGTGAGAAATGATGCCATGGAGTCCTCACTAGTGATAATAAGGAAAAAATTCCACTCTGGGCTAGGATATAGTTTCATACAAATTCTACAAGTTGTGTGTTTTCCAGTAAAACACTTGTGTCGATCTATATACATAATAATTCTCCATGCAATATAAGACATCTTGGGGACTCTATGACTAATTACAGTGACAAAAGATTGGCTTGCTAACTTGTTTAAAGAGCAATCAGCATCTCATCTGAACTGACATAAAATGGATCCTGAATAACTTTGGAGCCAGCTAATAGATAATACAACAGTGTAGCATAAAATACACTTCTTTTGTAGTGCAAACTACTTATTTCTGCCAAAAGACGTATTTCAAGGCCAAGGCGAGTTCATGAGTGGAGAAATGTATGAACTACAAAACATCTTTTGCTCAAGATGCTTCCCTCTAAGGTGTTTGGAGGTTTTTTGGTTTCAAACTTTTGCAGTTGAAACTTAATATTGACAGAAATGGTATTGTATTTATGCAGTGAAGGATGAGAATATCAGTTTAGGTATTCAGCTGGCATAAACTTGATGAGCTCTGCCAGGAACACTTATAGTTCGTGAATTCTGATCTTTCAAGTTTCTAAATAGTGTATTATTCTATGTTCACACACACACACACACACAACATGAATGCCTTTGTATCTCTTTGAATGCCTAAAAACGTGATACTTGTGATGCAGACATGTGACTCAAATTAAATATATTTGCACATACATAGCTGAGCAAACTGGTCTGTAAAATGCCCCCTATAGATATCTACCTTGTCTTTAATAAGAGACCTTCCATCGAAACTACAAAAGAATCACTCAGATAGTTTTTGTTTAGATTGCCAAACCTAAACAAGAAATATTTATTATATTAAACTTACAGCTTTTTGCATTTAGCAACAATATTATAATTCAGCACCCGTTGCAAAAAGTCCCGTAGGTTTTGTCCGCTTAGAACTTGAAGAGTTCAAGGAGGTAAGTTATGGTTTATTTTATTTTCTAAGCTGACGGAACATGCATGCTTCACTGGTAATATTGAAGAATGTAAACAGTCGTGGTATGCGTTAATAAACACAAGGGGATTAGTTTCTGCATTCAATCAATTCCTTTCGAACTGTACAGGGGATTCCTTTTATTCTTTTAACACCTCCACTTTGTACATTTGAACAAGAAAAGAGATGTGTTGCTAGAGGAACGGATCATAACATTCTATCAACATTTGTACGCAAGACGAAAATTGTAAACAAACAGTTCAGACCACAGACGGCCAAGCCGCAAAACAATGTCTAAGAATTCCATTAGAGTGAAAGGTTATCGATACGTAAGCAAAAGAATTGTTAAATTTGCCTTATTAGTTCAGACTGCATCACGGTTTCTAGCTTTCCTGGCTAGAATCCAAAGAGTTTTCAAGTTTCCTTATCGCTTTGGCAATCGGTAAAATACAATAAACTGTTGCGTACTTTAGTTATATGCAAATTTCTGTCGTGAAAAATATTGACCAATCGCCGGCAGCCATATTGGCACACCCACGGACGGCCCCCAAACAAAGGCGACGAACTGACTAGATCGATTCAATATTTTTTCACCAAGTTATCTACTTTTCTTCCCCAAATCGCGCATTTAGACTAAATAACTATCGATTTAATATGATAGAAGGGTTTTGCTGTTAATTATTTCACCAATTTTTCTACGAGGAAAACAATAAAATGGTCTCAGCTTAGTACCTAATTTCCCGAGAGAATTTTAATTTGAGCCAGCAGGATTTAGTTCGTTAGATTTCCGCATGAAAATTTGTTTACATTCTTATCGTCGCTTAACTTAACTTCGATGTGTTTTATATTTCAGTTCCCGTCTCTAGTATACGAACTATACTTCAATAACCAGAGGGAAAAAAGTGTGTGGATTAAGAAGTTCGCATTTCGTTTTGTTGATAGATGATTTTGAATTTCAAATTGATGGTCGAATCACGGAATAAAATAAAGAGGCAATAAACGTCTCGAGCGACTCTGTTTTAGCCCAACATTTATTCTTAAACGTTGAAGACCTAAGGTTAATGACTGTTGGATGTTAAAAGACGCAAAACTGACGATAGATTCTCATTCCATTTATATCCGCCAAAATCGTGACAATGAACACCTAACACGTCGCAAGTTTACTTTGTTCAAGGATAATTTCAGCCTCACTGGAAAAAGTATGAAAACAGACTTACGACATCCTCTTTCGTCTGAATTGTCTCCACAGTCATCTGAACCATCGCACTGCCATTTTGACGGGATACATCGTTGGTTATCGCATCTGTACTGCGTTGAACTGCAGTTAAAACCTAGCAACGTACGGCAGGTACAAATTTAGTAGTTATCAAGAAAGAATGCGATGTAAAATTTAACTTCTTACCGACCTGATGAAAGGCAAGTCCGAGTCAGTTTGAAAAATAACACAACCAGAGTGAAATTACAAGGAACTCACGCTAGATTTGAAGGGCTGACGAAAAAGTGTTCAAACTGGAGGGTGTGTTCGGGGGAGCGGTGTCGCCAAACCTTTACATTGTAAAATATTCATAGTACAGTCTATCTCGTACACACGCCGGTCAAGATTTCAAGCTTAGAAGAAATGTTCCTCTCAAACTAAGAAAAATATTGCTGCTAACTAGCGATAGTTTCTCGCCTCTGGGCTTTACAAACAGTCAGACCAAAGTTTTAAGTGGGGAAAGCGAAAGCTTAGTTCAGGTGTATGCCACCGGCGACCGCTTCGATAAACGGTAAGCTTTCTTCACTCGAAGTTTTGAACGAGTCTCAGATAAAATTCCTCCAAAAAAGTCTCGAGACAGTAATTATAAAATATACTTACTTGAAACCGTCCTCTGCTTTAAGAAAATTATCCAGAGGAGTCCAAAAAAGCGGAGCAAACCGGCTCCTAGAACCATGTTTGATTGTTTCTGCTGCTTCGTGTACAAGCGTGGGGTAGTGATGAGTAAAATTTGCATATCTTGACGGTCATTTGCTGCGAGCTCGGGCAAGTATCACGCCACTTGACGTCATAGCGCGCCACACGGACAGGTGAAGGAGCTTGCGAGGAAGAGAATCTTTGTTATCGAGTGACTTCGTCTACGCTGAAAAGGATAATCAATCTAGTGCAATATTTCTTGCTTAATGAATCTCTTCTGCTAGAGAACAGCCATTTACAGTGCTACAATGGATTAATATCAGCCAGTTCGAACCTTTTCCGTAGGATGCGCGAACCGCGAGTGAAACGCGTACGACTACACGAAGCCACGTGCGCCTCCACTACACAGCGCACTTTGTAAGTCAGTGATTGAACCATGTTTTACCAGGACTCAACATTGATTCCTTCACGTGATAACATGTGTTTTTGTAAGGTTACATTTGCTATTTTATTTTGCTTTATTTTTTTGACGCACAGGGTCCGTCAAACAAGTGAATATCGCGCGCGTGATATTCATATACACAGGCTCCCTCGGCCGTAACCTCCAGAAAACCGGAACAGGGAAACTCGGCTTACACGCGGAAAGAGAGAGAAAATTTGTATTTCAGCTGTCGCGATAACGAAATGAATTTAATTAAAATGGCATGATCCGATCTGGCGGTGAGAAAGTCTTGACATGATGTCAAATGAAACTTCCTGTTTGAGAAATGTGCTCTGACAACTTCTGTGAGCGGCAAATATGGTCAGATACACATGTTCATTGGACACTACCTTTGGAGTTAATCGCCCTACAGACACATGTTTCATCTCGCGGAAGATATTCTTCCTGGTTACAGGGATGAAGTTCCAGAGGTGAAAATGTCGCTACAGATTATGCCCCGGCAATATTTCAGGAATTTCTGATATTTTAAAGACTTTGAAAAATGCCTCCGTAGTCCGCAAACAATGTGTTATCTCCACGATCAAACATGTAACACATGTGATAAGCTCATAGTGCATGAGTTTTTGCCAGTGGGGGTGAGGTCTTCCTGTTTTCGTTTCGTCAAACGAACCTTCAGTTGTGAATTGTGATATCTGCCTCACACTGCATTTTTTTTTTTAAAGAAATGGTAATTAAAAAGTAACTTTTCATGCCTAGTTTTAATATGTTGCGGGCCGGTTTGTCTAGGCAAAACCTGTGTATTTTGTGGACTTTCAAGTGGAAAACGTGCAAATTATATTTATAGTTTTCTCAGTGAAAAGGTTTGCACAACCCTAACTGCTTTATAATAATAAAAAATCGTCGCTGCTGAAAAAATATTTACCACTTAAAAGTGACAGGCAAAATCGCATTCGAATAGGTCTGTTTGCAGCTTAATTACATCGCTACTATTTGACCATGGTTGTCCAGTAGTTTTGTTCCAATGTTCTATATAAATTTGTCTGTGTTCTCGGTACTCTTTGTGTACGATGTTGTTTGCTCTCTGATCTCTCAGTAGCTCTAGTGTACTCTGTTTAACGTCCTCTGTTGGTCAGTCATTGTCTGTGAGTGTTCTGTGCTCTTTGTTCTGCGCACTCCACCGATATTCACTGCATGTTCTTCCTGTATCCTGTCCTCGCCATTTTTTTTCTCTTTGCTTTATGCGCTACAGAGAGCAAAGTAGCTCAGTTGGTAGAGAACTGCACCGGCATGAGTTTGAATTCTGTTCAAGCCTGAATTTTGTTTTTTCAAGCTGTTTTTTTTTTTCACAGCTTCAAGTTGTGTAAATAACTTCGGAGTGCAGTTATCAATCATGTCTTTGCATCTTTCTCAGCAGTTCAAGCAGTCAAGATCTTTCAGATGTTCACTCGGCAAAGAACAAGTGTGCGCTGAGTATGCGCTGTGTCTTGTCGCCAAGTTGTATTAACTTTCTTTGTATTGTTTTATGTTCAAATGGTTCCCCAAATATTAGTTTGCCGTTCTGAACACCGTAATGGGTTTGCCATGATAATTAGATGTTAGTTCTACTAGAAAAAAGACATCAATGTAGAATTGTCTCTCGAGTGCTTGACTTTGAACGGACTGAACTGTCGAAATGAGAAGTACGGGTTTGTTTTGACCAAAAATGAATCTTTAATTTGGCTTCAATATGAAGACGCTACTAACTCTAGAGTTACAGCGTGCCTGATCAGGTGTCCAACGATGGACTCCCATGCTCGACTTTGATTACCACCAGAAGGTCCACTAGAACCTCCAGAGGGTACTTCCCAAAGTGTTTGGTGAGGGTGGGCGGCCCGAACATTGATCTGAACCTGTCACCATATTTCAGACCAAAATCTGTGATTTTCCACACCCTATTTCAGACCTGAGCCAAAAATCGATACTCCATTTCAGACCTATAGAATCAGTACACGGCTTTAATATATCACCGCAACTGACTTTCCAGAAATGGCTTCCATATCAGTGCGTGAACATCTGAGAAGGGCTACAAATTTGACGATGTTGATGAGGAAAAAAAATATGTAATTCCTTGTAAACAAAACAACCAGTGCAAAGTTAGATCAGTGGAAAAAATTCCCTTTTTCAGACCAAAACCGCTCAAAAACCATACTATTTGGAGCCGCACTACCTGTGCAGCCCGTATCAGGGAGTACCCTCCCCCCGGGACTATACAACACTTTGAACCATCATTGGGAAATCGTACGACTCAGCACCACGTGGTACCGCCCGGGAAGTACGTCGACGAACCGCTTCGTATACGTCCCCCCTCTAGGACATGAAATTTCTCTACGGTCTTCACATAAAATACTAATTATACTGTACATGTATGCTGTGGAAATTCTCAACAAATTCTTGAATCATTGAATATCGTTTCTTTAACTTTCACATTTCTCACAAATCGACGGAAAAGGATTTTCCAACCAGATGCCAGCTCTGAAAATTGTTTTTGATTTTGTAGACACACGACTCCATTAAGCTCTCAGTTTTTTAAAAGTCATCGTGCTAAAGGCATATTTATCTGTCTATCAATCTATCAAAGCTGAAAACACTGTACATGAGCGGAAGAGTAATTGGCCTTGAAGTTCATTCTATCGGTTGCTTAGCAATTATTCCACGAGCGCGCATTAGATATGCGATGTTATTAAAAACTGGATCATTAGATAATGCGGTTCAAGAGTTTTCATTGGCTCCGCCGTCATGGTATACAAGCAATAATACCATGCTCTACAAACATGGTAAGCCCAAACGTAATAAAAACTCGTGAATTGTATTATCCGATCATCCAGTTTTTAATAAAAGCACACAGCATCCGTTTTGCTGACTGTAGGCTTTGAATTTCATAAGAACTACCTAAAAATCTATGAGATAGCCAACCGGTTTATATCTTTCTGAGCTGAACTCTTCTGTCAACTACGCGTCCCGTAAAATAATCTCTTAGAACTGTTTATTTATCCCTCCCTTTTGAAAAGTGACCGCTACCCGGCCTGCAGCTGTAACCAGCTGTTGCTGAACGGCAATGATCCCGCGCGTTTTCCCCACGCGCGTTACCACTCCACATGCTAAATTTGGCATCCATCGCCAGGCAAGAAATTAAAGTTTTTCTTCAAACAAATTCCTCTTTCAGGACTTTTTTTCCTACGAATAGCTGTAATTTGACCCGGTTTACCAATAGGAACGTTTTAAATTGACATTAATCCTGGCAAGACATTTTGGAGCACACTATTTTCGAATATCCGACATTTGGTGACGATGCACAAAGCATTGTAAGGATAGCTTTGAAGTCTCGAGTGGAGCCGGCGCGAAGGGAAGCCAAGCAACTGTATTTGTGATATAGGAGATGGCGTTAATTACGCAATTATGGCAGGGGAAAAGACAATGGTCTTCTTAACTGTTTGCAGTTCTAAAGAAGGAATCAATATTTCAACTGCAACTCCGCCATTTTGTACGCCGCGCTCGAGCCGTGAGTTGAATTCGTAAGAATTCAATCAGAATTGCAAAAATGCCCGATGAATGAACGCCAGCGAATGGCACAGGAAACCACGCGGAATGAACTCATGAAAAAGTCATGATTTTTAAATTTTTTTATTGCCATCAGAGTTATTTCTGACGATCACAGCTCTCAAATGTCATGCAATATTGATGCAGGTGATGTTTGCAAATAACGTAAACTCCACTGTATGAATATCGGTGATGCTCTTAAACCAGTTCAACAGCGTACGCTCTCCAGAAATATAAATCATTAAATACAATGTGCAGGTTGTTTGGCTCAGTAGAAAAATTCACAGCCAAGACAACACTGCCCCATGGCGACCATTGTCATGTAGGATCATAACAAAATTCACTTCAACTCCCAAGTAAAGAAAATATTCCGGCGTCTTCTTGAAATAACTAAGTTTCCGTCATGAGTGAGTAAAATATCTCCTTCTCCCTATTTTTGAAACAATGTCCGTCAAACGCTTCCGGAAAAGGCCTTAAAACTAAAATAAGGACTACTGTAGTGAGCTCCTAAAATAACTTCTCAGTTGTCGTAACAAAACTAACACAAGATTTGTTTTGTTCAGTTCAGTGGTCGCACAGTTTTTTCAATCTTTGGCGTGTTACAAAACAAACCGGCGTTTGGCTCTGCGACCGAAATACCAAATTTCAGTTTTTCAATTTAAAGTAAACTTGTGTTGTTCGGTTTTTTATCGATTCTTCAAACAGCAACATAAACCTTTATGTATGCAAATATTCAGTTTACAAAACCTTTTTGTTTTGGCAAGAAATTTGTGACGCTCGCAGGCACTGCTCATGCCAAAACCAATATTTTCGCAATATTTGTACATTTTCAAACACGGTAAAATTTAATTTACAGGAAACAGTTAGAGCATTCCAAAAACTAACGAAATTGTACAAAACAATTGTCTTACTAAACACTCTTCTATTTTTTTTTTCAAAATTCTGGAAGTGCGCATACACAGATTATAAACATTCACAGCTAGCTTTACTTCATATACCCTGAGGACACATCTGTTATTTTTTATTGAAAAAGATAATGGATCACGGTGCGAACGGTGTTTGTATAACAGATTTAGTCAACCGTAAAATGTTGATGTTTAAAATCCACTGTCGATTTTTTTTTTCTCCAGCAAGCTTTTTTCCCTTTTTAAAATATTCAGTCCGTAAACTCAATATTTCTGGAAAACGATCAAATCTGACAAGTGTTATTATAGTGAGCAGCAAGCAAATAGTGGCGTTTAATATTTCATATGTGAGGGTAAAAGCCAAGTCTCTTAGCATATATATTCAAACTGAACCGTTTCCAACTGTTTTCCAATTCTCAGAAGGGCCATAATACCTCTACTGGCCGCGGAACCGACAAAAACTTTGTGTGGCTAGTTTCAATTAGGGGCAAATCAAATTATTCCGCTTAAATTTTCTATAAAACTGCTTTAAAACGGTTTGGATGTCGTTCTTGCTACGGTAAACAGTTTTTGTCGTATTGATTTAATGTTCAAAAATGTCATTATGACGTTTTTCGAAGAGAACTCTGGCGTCGCATAAGAAGCTCGTGACCAACTCGGGCCAAATATTCAAGTAATTACTCAGAACTACAATTAAAAGTCTGACACAAATACCACATTTAACTTTGCACCCTTGAACTTTAAATATTGTCTTGGCAAAAGTGTTCCGAGTTTCACGATATCCATCGTTCGCACGACACGTGTTCCCACGTTGTACGATTCGCGGAACGCGTAACTGCCACTCGATTCACGAAAGCGGACTCGCTGAACGTGAAAATAGTGCTTCTAGCATGGCCACAGTTTTAAGGAACGCATTTGGTTTGTTTCAAAGCCTGAGATAAATTGAATTAGTAACCGCACTCAAGAAGTTACAAGAAACTGGACGGCAAGCGCAGGAGTCCCTTAAATCGACCAGTTTGTGTTAAATGAGAGTTCAAAAAAAATATTTACAGTAACCTCCCTTAAATCAAAGCGTGCACCGACTTGGGACAAGCAAGATTAAATATTTGACTGCCTTGGTATCAGCCCTTAAGCAGATCAATGCCATCCCTATCTGGGCATCCACAATAACAAGTAGCCTCTCTTAGAGGTGTCAACTCCAGAGCAATGTCTTCCTTAGAATTGTGCCTTATAGAGGTGTCAATCTTAGAGGCGTCCACCGTGGAGGTGTCCCCCATCCCATACAGATGTCCTTTCAAGAGGAGTCCACTCTACAGCGATATCCTTAGAGGTGTTTACTTTCGAGGTTGTCACCTTACAGTTCACCTCAGAGATACGTTTTCCATCCCAGAAAGGTGTGCTCCATAGCTGTGTCAGTAGTATGATTACCCTCGGACACAGTTATATACCTTCACAGTTATACACCTTCACAGTTATAAACCTTCAAATGCACGATGGCAGCTGTCCTGAATAACCGTTGTTTTGCCATATCAGTTAAAAATGCAAGATGCATACAGTACATATATGAAAACTGGAAAAGACAATGGACAGTGTAAAATGAAGGGAAAACGGTTCCCGCAAAATTATGAAAAAAATTTGAGGCAAGATTTATTGAAGGACATTTGTCGAGTTCATAAATATATAAACAATCGCATTGTAATGAGTATTATATCGCGTACGAATGAATTCTGTTCGGTGACTCGTACAAACACAGTTCTGCTCCAACTGGCCAAACTTTCACCCTTTCTCAGACTTTTCAGGCTTTTTACCCCGTAAAGATCCTCTTATTTTTCTTGTTTGCCTACTTCCCTCGTCTTCTCCTTGTCTCTACAATTCACTTTGACTTGCCAGCTTGTCTAGCTTTGGCAATGTCGATATCTGATTGGGTAATCGTATGAAACACGTCATCCACGTCATAAATGTCGCGGGGAAGATCTTTGTTGGTTTCTCGACGACCTTCGAGGGCTAGCCTCGATTCCACGCGATCACGATACCGCTGTGCTGCTTGTTTGCGTACCATCCGACGATACTAAGAGAAAGAAGTGAGATGTACGTTAAAAACATGTGAAGATACATTTTATTTGCTTTATAGGACATTATGAGACAGTGTTTTAGCACACTTTCAAACACCTAAAGTTTGTCAAAAATACTCCGCTGTGTGTCGTATTTTCAACTCTCTTCTTGGTGCAAAATGAATATAGGAAAGATCATATATTTGAACTGCGGAAAAAGATCTCAAGATATCAATGGTTATCGCAGTTATATACGCAACTTAAGCAGCTGTGAAATTAAAAGCCGCTGTTTGGAAAATATGTGGTCAAACACCCGGTCTATCATGTTTGAAATATTACACACCAAATATGGTACAGTGTAATTATCTTATGTTTCATTTACCTCGTTAGGTGATTGATATTGTGGATTTTCATATAATGTCGATCCTCCAAAACTTCCCTCAAACACTCTGATGAGGTTCAACACAAACCGTGGCCCTGAAAGTTTACCAGAAACAAAGAATAACATGAACATATTAACAACATGCTTTAGCTAGCTGATGACTGTCTTAATTCTCATCACTTGTTGCTTGACAATCTTCTGATATTGTAAGGAGAAATAAGATGTCAATCACTGATCGGAACTAAACAATGAAAATAAGAACAAAACATACCAATCTCCAGTAAAGACCCATCTTCCTCAACAATCTGAAATACAAAATTCAAATAAATTAAATCGCGTATCGCTTTCTGTCTTTAGAAGGAAAGTCTTTTTACAAGTCTTCTCCAAAAGCCAATTTTAATGATGAAGGACGTAAAAAAGACAGTAAAACCAAATTTAGCCATCACAGAGCTACCTCCTATTACCATCGTGGCACTCTCTTCATGTACCTGGTAAACCGTGTAAAACAAATTACTAGTATTTACCTGGAAATTCCGGAACCAAATTCTATTGTCTTCTATTGAAAAGGATAAAATGTGATCTACAAATGGTTTACTCTTGGGATGAGAACAAGGAGTACTAAAAATCTGCAAGTGAAAAATAATTTCATCAGAGTAGACAGTTAGACTGTTAGCCATCGTCTTTTCAAAAAAAATGGAAATAGGATTTTTTTTTGAGCAGCCGAAAGTGAGCAAGAGAAAAATTTTCAGTCAACTACTTTTTGTGCTCAGAAACTTGTCTTTTTTGGTTGATTTAACATGAGGTTTACACTTTTAAGTGAATAAAATTACCATTTTAAGTCTTACATGAAAGTAACACTGTCAGAAAGAAGGTTGTTGACAATTGAGACAAAAAGTGATTTTTGAATCAAACGCAGGTTCTCATAATGTACATACCATAATAAGAGTGGACTCAGTGATAAACACAAAAATTATGATTGCAGTACCTAAATTACAATAACTATCTTATATACTACTTGTTAGTACCTTAGTTTCATTCCACAAGACAAGTCCATGAAATACACTGGAAGGTTGTCATTTAGTTAATTCTACTCAATGCTTAAGTACATTTAACTAGAATAGTCATGCAAATGTACAATGTACCTGAATAAACATTTCCTTGAGGAGTGAGTTGTGAGGTGTTTCATCAAACAGCTGCAATTTAAATAAATTCAGGTACCATTAGGTTACTCAACAGTAAGTTCTGTAAGACTACTGGGAACCTTGTACATGTATATGGGCNTCTGTACACTGTCGTTCGTAGTTCGTTGTTGTCGCGGCTTACCAAACAGTCTAGAAAAGGAAGTTTTCCATTTTCTTCGATCTCTTTAGTAAACTGGATTTCGGCGTTCTGTTCGTTTAGGTGGTCGTGAAAATCGTCAATTTCGTCTTTGTGAACAGCGGTAAAGGTGTCGTCAATGTAGCGTAACCAAAGCGGTATCTTTGTCGGCAAGTTGCAAGGGCGCGTTCCTCCACGCGTTGCATCACAATTTCTGCGACAACAACAGAAACAGGCGACCCCATAGCTGTTCCATGCAACTGTTTGTAGTGTTTACCGTTGTGCTGAAAGTAAATCGATGTAAGGCAAAGGTTCAGTAAGTCCATGATGTCTTCTGTCGGTAACGGTAGTTTAACAGTAGATTGTTGTATAGCGGTCTCGGTACACTGTAATGCCAATTGAAGTGGAATACTGGTGAACAGTGATTTCACATCAAGTTTGTAGTCGTCAGGTATCTGTACTGCCTTAATAGCGTCAATAAAGTTCAAAGAACTTGATAATGATGACATGGAGTCATTGAAACGAAGTTCAATTTTAATATCACTCCTTTTCATTCTTAGTCTTTTACCCTTACTCATGTTGGTGTCTTGAACAATAAAAGTTTGGTTAACAGAACAACCACAAAATCCTAGTCTGGAGAAAAGGTGCATCACTGGGGCAAAGTGGAACATGCCATACACAAAGCATGCCTGTTAACCTGAGGGCTACTTGAATGCTCACATATGTTATAACCATAGATTGAAGTACATGTATGTAGTCTTAATGCTTGACATAAGAGGCAAAGCATGTTAGATGTTTATTTGACTTACCTTATCAAACGATAAGATAGGCCTTGATCCTTTTAAAGAATTTCCAGTTAATTTAAGTTCATCCATAGTGTGCACTAGAAATGAAAATTAAACGTTTTTACCACAATTGCTACTAATCTCACAATCTGATTGGCTAATTTGCTGTTGTCGATAAGAATCTAGACAACGCTGCTCCCATCAATGTGTCACACAATGCCTTTTTCAGCTCACACTCTGAAAAAAACATTTTCTTTGATGTTGATATTGTGGACTCACTTGGCTGTACCTCGTAAGTCCACAACATTTTGACCACTGTGATGATGTGTATCATTGTCGATAAGAGTACAGACCATGCTAAACCACATTCCATTTATTAAATAATACATGTACAACCCTTTTTTGGACTTGAAATGAACCACATTGCACTAATTTTTTTCACAGATGGAGTATCAGAGTTAAACTCTGTAATAATTTTACAAATTAACTTCCGAGAATTAGCCTTGATAAGGATAGAGAGGATCACACAAGGCTAAAAAAATATTTTCACCTTGTTGCGATTTAAACCCAAGAGCCCCAGATTAGATTATTGTAGCTACTAACTGAACTGTAAGGTCAGATGGGAATAAATTGTGGGTTTTTACAGATGTAATTCTTAGGAAAGTAGGTGAAAATGGTATATCACAAAAAATGTTGAGCCGTGTTGCACTAATATAATATTATACAAGTACATGTGCAGATGGGAAGTCACAGAATTCTGAAAACTCCGTTTATATTTTTCAAATACCTAAATAAACTCATCAATTTCTTTCAACAGCCCTTGGCAAAGTCTGTTTGTTTGTCAGCAACTGGTACTTTTGGCACTCCTCTCAGAAGGGAAGTGCATAATAATTATGGGATAATTATGTTAAACATACATGTTTAACATAATTATCCCATAGTGCAGTTTGCCTTGTTTTGCTTCATGAGGAGATTCATACTCACCATTTTCCACTAAAAATTTTGCAGACGGACCATGTGGTGTACAAGAAAACCTGAAAGATGAAATTCAGAAATCTGATCCAGGGTTGTAAATATAATGCAAGTTGTAAATATTATATTGTAAAAGTAGTGTATAGGTACCGTAATGCAAGTAATGTAACATAATGTACATGTAACATAAGTAGAGTATTCTGTGTAAGTATCTTATTGTACAAAATTGAAGACCTTACCTAAACTAGATTTTTTTTCTACAGTAGATTCCACGTAATGAATCACACCCCTAGATGTTTTGCAGAATGTCACATGCAAAAATACAACTTACCACATAAACAGATCTTGTCCTTTCCTCATTTCAAAAAAGATACACTTGTTACAATTTTTCATTTCACAGACCTACAAGTTATGCAAAAGTACAAAAGATTACACTTTTTGTAGCCATGAATTTGGTTATCTTGTGAACTACAATAAATTGATAATGAACCAAGTGAAACTACATGCATACTACATGCATGTGCATGTACAGAAAAATTAAGAAATACTGGAATTGAAATGCACTAGGGTTGTTTGCAAACCTCATTTACAACAAACAGTTTGTCTTTCCTGTCAAGCTTGGTTTCTAGAAATGTAAACAAATCATATGAGACATTGACAAATTTCCTTAGTACAATGAATCCTAACAACTATAAGACTTTTGAGACTTTCACACTTCTTATATGTGGGTGTTAACGTGTTGCTCCCGCATCAATAGCCATTGTTTACAAGTAGCGATTTTCCAAATTTGTAAACCTCCTAATCCACATTCACCAGACTAATTGGTGGTTAAAGTACTATGGAACCCTCCCTTACGGCCATCCCATTAATATGGCCACCTCATTATTATGGCCACTTTATTCTGGCCAGAACGAAAGCTCAGTCAGTCATTTTCTTATTTACAGAACCCCTTTAACACAGTCACCCTGTCAATATGGCCAGAATTTTGTGGCCCATTGGTGACCAGATTAACAGGGTTCCATGGTAGCCAGAGATTTGTCCTAGTCTGAAAGACCAGCTGTTAGAATCATGTAATTTGGCTGCCTGGTTTGATCATCACAAGGAAACAACTCTTACTATGAACGATTTGTCTCATTGCAAGCTTTTTATTCCCAACAAATATCCCTTTGGTAATATGATATGATTACTGTATAATAATTTACTGCAGTTCCTTTTAAGCCTTTACCAGATTTAGAGTGTGGTAACAACGTCTGTATATCCAGCATAAGGTGCCTTGCTCTGTGAAAATAAACAACATGTGACAGAGGATAACATACATTCATCTCATTCTATCACAAACTTTGTGAGGTGCAGAATTGCAGAAAAAGTAATCAAGTGCTTTGAAAAGCTAAGCTTACAACACGCCCTATGCCATTAATTGTATTGAATTGTAATAAATAAGTATAAAATAACAAAGTATAAAGTATATAAAAGAGTACAGAATACTCCAGAAACGTCATTGTCAGAATAAACAAGTCACTTAGTTGTTTATATCATGGACACACAGATCACGAGACCGGATCTATTCGCATATTGCTGAAACTAGTGCGTGTTAAGCATTTCTTTCTTCCACAGCTTAAGGAATAAAGCCTTGAGTCTTACCTGTGTGAAATACCACGTGAGCAAAACACAAGCACGCGTTGTTTGTTGGTCCATTTTCCCTGAAAACAAAACGTTACATACTTTCATTTACACGGTATAACCTTAGAAAAGAAACACCTCAACCTGTTCAAACCTTTTTCGTTTTCTTTTTCTTCGACTGTAGTGCATTAGACTGGTTAGAAGGTTCCACTTCTTCTATTGACCTTTTCTTCGCCATTTTGAGTTTTCGTCGCCTGTGTAACCGCGCTTTCATGACAACTGCTGGACTAACGGGGTGCGGACTCAAATACGTTCGTGACTTTCGGAGGGATTCGGAGGCCGGAAAGCGGGAAATATTCTGGAGGTAAATAATAATATCTCTTCCCAAAAATATAGCTTAGTTCTACAACTCAGGATCCACTTACGTGTAATTGTTAATTTTGGAGATTTACTTTTTACAACTGTGATTTAAACATCTAAGCAATCTGAAGCAATTGTGCGTGACAATTTCGACCAGCTATTTTGTAATGGCGATACTTGCATTAAATGACATTGCAATATAAGCTCGACTATCAGTAAGCATAAATATTTCACGCCCACACAGTCATGCATGCATGATAAAACAATATTAATAGACTGGATAACCAGGCCCATTGACGTTTATGGTTGTTTTTTTATTGATCACAATATAATTATGTGTAATGATCATATGGGCTAGTCTAGTAAGGTTAGAAAAAATACCATGATGGTATTAAGCTTAACCAGAAGACTAATCCTTCGGCTTTTCTGAGTTATCAGGATTTTTAGGATTTTTATTGAAAAGCCCATACTTAAGGTTTTCGAGTACTTTTGACCCCTGTACATGCACAAAGTAGGAGTAAGTATGTAAGGTTTTAGTTTGACCTCCCACCCCCTAACCCTCTGGAAATTCCAGTCTTGTTTCATAGTTTCCTTTAAAGGATTGTGGCTTTTGAGACCTTCCTCGTCCTTGGAATGAGTGGTTCCAGAAAATATCCATACCTCTACCAAGGATGGTTATTTGATTTGTACCCCCTCCCCATTCCCTGGAATGTCCAGTTTTGCTTCATACTTTCCCTTGAAAGATTTGGCTATTGAGGATCCCCTTAACCCCCTCAGAATTTCCTATGACAATTGTTGGTGTGGGTAGGATATTTTCAGGACCTGTACAATTTTCAGTAACCCTCCTTGAGGTGGGTATTTTCTGGAACTACACAAAATTATGTCATTTGGCTGACCAGACAAGCAGTCCTTAATAGGCTCATATATTGTTTGAAAACAGCTGATGATTGCCCACCTGACAAACAACAGTTATAATTGACAAATCCCCTTGGAGTATCTCACTCACTGTGCTGTGTATGACAATGTTATTCATTTGTTCCTGTGTTGCTCATGTTAGTCTGATCACTTTGAAATAATTTTGTAAATCTATATGTATGTTTTAGGTCTGTTGTCCCTTTCAAAGCATTTACCAACCTATCTGTTGCAGGAAAGTTCATTGCTGAGGAGAAAACAGGCAAAACAAAAATGGGTTCTGCTCTGAGTGGAGCAATGAAAGAAACAATGGATGACAACATGAAGAAGAATCAAGAGTTTATGTTGGAAACTCAAAAAATTCAGGTTAGACAATGTTAGACATAACTTGGAAATTGGTTAGTTTTGCTAGTTTGTCAAAGCACTATATATAAGCGATATTGCACCATAGTTAGTATTCCACCAACTATGGTTGCACCGAGGGTCTTAACAAGGATGCAGAGCAACTGGAATTCTTCATTCGTTGTAGTGAGTGATGGTTGTGAGAAATTGTGCAGCCTTAATTTCTTGCAATAATTTCTGCCAGTAATTTCTGGCATTAAATTCAAATAGTGAGGGAGTGAGTTAGAGCACTTGCAATTTTTATAAAAGCATTCACCTCAGCAAGCCATGTCATAAAAGAAACCTCTCTAGTAGGCTGCTAATTTTCAAAACCCATGATTTTTTTTTTCAGCTAGGAAGACAACTTCAGATGCAGAATGCCATGAGAGAAAGACAAATGTCCATGCAACTGGCTGCAGCTAGAGAAATGTTTTATTGGTTGGCTTCATTCTATGGGATTGCGAGCGTTGGTATGTTTGCTGGGTAAGTTATCATATGTCATTATTATTGTATATAGGGTTGCTGTCCACACTAGACTCATTGACCCATAAACCAGACATGAATTCTGTAATCTTGTTAGGCAGAAGGTTTCTACAGTGTGGAGTCCCTGGGTGGGAGGGGGTGGGGGGGGGGAAGGAACTCCCATATAAAAAGGACAGGGGTGATCATCAGAAATTTTGAAAAGAGCCCCTAAGAGGTACCAAGATCCTGTTTTGCAGGCGTGGCTTGAAACTTTTTTCACCCCTAGGAGGTACTAATTCTAAAACAACAAATTATGCGAAATTTTCAATAGCGATATTAAAACACGATTGTAAATGAGACAAAATGAATATCTCCTGTCATATTTTTTTCCGCTGCAGCTCAATACCCTAAAAGGTTTCGCTAAAGCTCCTGCTATAGACCTTGTGAAGCTGAGCACCCTAAGAGGTACAAAACTGCCTTTTTAATCCCTGAAAGGTAGTACGAGCACCCTTGTCCAATGTATTTGAGAGTCCCCGTCCCTGAGTTGAGTCCTGCATTGCAAGATTTAGTATGCAATGGTGTTTGAGTTGCATTTGTGCTCATCTCTCAGGTTCTCGAAATCCAAGAAGCCAGCAGTTTTAATTCCTTTCCTTCCTCTTACCTTTATTGTGGCATATCAGGCTGATTATGTTTATGGAACCAAAATGAGCAGGATAAGGGGTGAGTAACATTACTGGAAATTGTAACAGCTGTAAAGGAACATTTCTGTTTATCGTGTAACTGTTGACGCAATGGGAGGCATGATTGCCTAATGGTTAGTGCACTCACCTCCTGATCAAATGTTCTGGGTTTGAGCTCTGGGACATTGTATTGTGTTGTTGGACAGGAAACTTTACTCTCACAGTGCCTCCCTCCATCCAGTTGTATAAANTTCGAGCCCTGGCCAGGGACATTGTATTGTGTTGTTGGAGAGGAAACTTTACTCACACAGTGCCTCCCTCCCTCCAGTTGTATAAATGAGTACCGACAAACTAAATGCTGGGAGGGGGGGAGGGGGGTGACCCTGCAATAGGAGGAGGAAGAGTAGAAATACTCCTAGTTGCTTCATGCTACAGAAACCAGGATAAGCTCCGGCCTGATGGGCCACTTGGCTCGTATACAGACTTTACCTTTACTGTGCATGTTGACACAAGCTACATGAATGCAGTGAACTATACCATTGAGAAATTCCCATAACATCGAGGGAGACAAGTCTATATTCAAGTTTATTGGCTCATCAAGCTTACACTTAGCAATGGTTTCTTCAGTACAGAGTTACCAGTAGTATTTCTACCCTCCCCTGGATGAGATGCTAGTCCGTTGCGGGGTTACCCTAGCATTAGATTCATTGTAGGCCATTTAAACTGTTAAAATCAAGTCAAACTCTTGCCCAAGAATTGCAAGAATGCAATTCTTGAAACGTTACTGGTAAAAATACTGACGAATGGCAAATTAAAGCAGTTAAAAAAGCCTTTGATTAGTAGGAGTTTATGGATTGGTGCATAACCTTGGTTGCCATAACCCTGGTTCTCGATTTTTTTTGAGCTCAAGTTTGTAGCTCTGTGCTGTTCTTTGTATTTAATAGCCATGTGCTTATTGATATCTTTGCTCCCACTTGAACTACTTTCTTAGGGGTGACACCATACTTAATGGGGGCAGCACGTATTTGAGTAAATATACAGTATTANTTGTCATTATATTACAGAGGAAGCTGAGCACATCATGAAAGAAGAACGAGCATTCCTTGAACTTCCAACTGGAATGCCTGATTATCAATCAATTGAGGAGGCAAGACTGAAGGCAGAAGGAAAATCATCCTAAACACTCTTTAGTCTCATAAACCAGTGCAGCTGAATGCATGATATACCTCTGTGCATACAACGTCTATTACTTACATGTACACAAATTATAATGGAGACTCTTTCTTCAGTGTAAACATTCTATGCAATTCAATCTTTACTTTGCAAACAGGATACATGTTAAACCTACAACTGTATGTAACCAATGTGTTGTTCCAGCAAATATACCCTCATATAGATAGAATTTTTTAGGCTGCACAATGTACACTTCCATTCAAGGCTATTCAAATTATACTCTTGATAACAATTTATGGACTTTGTGCTAATACATGTACAGACACTATAAGAGGTCACCAATAAACTAAGTTCATCGGATGGAGAAGTTAACAAGTTTCCACGTCTTTGATCAGTTACAGTACCACAAGGAAATATGCAGAAACCTTAGTTGTGGTTTTAATTTTATCAGCAGAGGGTAACATATCCCTCACACAGGAAGATTTTTGGTCTTACCCCCAACCTATCCGCCAGAATTTCCTGTTTAGCTTCACTGAAATGCTTTCATTTAATAACTTGACTTTTGTGGGGGGGTGGTCAGCATGATTTTTGGGCCAGTACATCATAGTTAGAACTTGCTCCAAGGGCAAACCTGAAAATTGTTTTTTCTTTGCACACTGATACAGTGTATGCGGTCAGAAGGATTTTGAGAGTAAAGGTATTTAACTAATAACAAGGTTTTGCAAAACATTTTAGAACAAAAAGGAGCGATATTAAAATCAAACAATGTTTCGATGACACAATGTCATCATTATCAAGAACTTTCAATTGAAAGTACATTAAATTACATTACTTCTCAATAGTTCGTATAGTGTGATCGTCCGGGTGAGTGTAGTTCTGAAAAGAACTGTTGTTGGTGACTGACG